AGGTCTTTACCTGCGTACTTCGTCGCGCTTCCGCTGTGTCATCATAAGCATCGCTGTTTCCGCCAGCTCAGTTGTTACGGAGCGAGCGAAGCGAGCGGAGTCTCATACTGAATTAAGGGAAAATCCTGAGTATGAGCGGCCGGCCGGCCGGCCGGCCGGCCGGCCGTGGGGACGCTCTTCAAAAGCTAATATCTTAGGAACGGGACATCCGATTGACAAACGGTCTTCTTTACTGAATGTCACTTGGACGTAAAAGTTCTGTGGTGTGATGGCCACCATGCGTTCTTGCCAACCACCGCACGTGGCGCGTGGTAAAGTTGGACATTTTTTAAGAACCCCCAAAATTGCAACCTCAATAACGGCACAACGGTTGGGCCGATTGAATTGAAACTCGGTACACAGTTAGGTCTCCATCAGATAATTCATCTGCATGTGTTAAGGTTGGGGTGCTACAGCACGTGCGCACGTGCAGGGGGCGCTCCCAGATCTCGAGAACGGCTGGGCCGATTGCGCTCAAATTTGGTGCACGGTTGGGGACCAGTTAGTAGGGTGCCGTGCAAAAGTCAGTTTGGACCCCGCTTGCACGTGCGCACGTGCAGTGTGCCGCTTCCAGATCTCGAGAACGGCTAGGCCGATTGCGCTGAAATTTGGCACAACGCTAAACACCGGTTAGTAGGGTGCAGTGCACAAGTTAGTTGGAGGTACCCCCTCGCAATTTCGCACGTGCAAGGCCCATCCTCTCGCTCGCTCCGTTGGTCGCCCAAAAGGCGTTTTACTGGTCGTATTGGGGAGCCTGTTGTACGCTCTGTGAACTTGTTTGTCATGGCCCATATGTCGCGTCAGCACCTCGAAGTCTGCGTCAGTCAGAGGAAGTATATGAGATGCGGTACCGCAGATTTCCCGAGCCTAGTTGCTGTGAAGAGTTTATGAGAGGTGGGGCAGCATCCGGAGATAAAACAGGTCCCCGTGGCTGGGCGTCAGGCTCACCACCCGGCCGATGGTGGGCGCCGCCTGCACGTTACGGCGCCGGAGCCACCGCTTCTGACCGGCGTCCCAGCGGTACTTTTGAGGGAAGTCTGGGTTATAATACTCGGAGGCACTCGGGGTTGGAAAGTAAACGCCGTAACATTTTGGTCATGAACAATGCACATTACACTCTCATTATATTTTAATAAATAAGTATTTCACGGACAGGGCGCTGCAGCATACCTCAACGTTGACGTGCTGAGCGGGAGGTACGAGCAGTGCGGCACCACCCACTGGTTGGTGATGAGCCGGCCGTCACGTGTCGTCTTCTATCCGTCTGCGGCGACCCGCCGCCGGTACACGGGGTACGGGCTGTCGTCGCGCCACTCCGTAACGGCCGCGTACGGCTTGGGGAATCCCTTATCGCAGCGACCGTCGATGATGCACGCGGGGACTGGTCGGATGTGTTGCACGGCCGGTGCACCATCGACCGCACGACGATGGCGTGGAGCCGCCGCGCCTGGTCCGACTGTGTCGGGTCGGGCAGCTCGGGCGAGATGACGGCATCCAAGTCGTCGGCGGTCCGATCTTTTGGCCGGACGATGATGAGGATGTGGCTGTGTGGTAGGCCTGGCTTTGGCTGATTAGACAGCGTTCCCTCCTGAACTTGCACCCTTCTCGTGATATTGTGCTCTTGTGAGATGTGCTGTTTCCCAGCTTATGTATCTTATGTATTTAGCATTGAACCTTCGGTCACACCAAGTGTCATGTTCAACACACCACCACTATGGGTATTGCGGTACTTTGACGATCCGATTGCACTATGCACTCGCCCAACATAATAAATAAATAATAAACGATAATGAACGACTAGCTGCGGTGGTATTCATTAATTCGTTCCACGCCGCCGTCTCGGTGGTGCAGAACGATGTCGCGGACGCCATGCGGCTCCTCGGACTAGGACTGCCACGTCGCCGGTCTCCGGTAGGTCAAAGCGGCGCTCGTGTTCCGTGGCGGGCCGACGCTGTGCGCTCAGAACGATTCTGAGTGGTTGGTCCTCTCGGCGCACCAGCTCAAGAGCCGAGCGAAGCTCGTACACGTAATCAGTACTCACAACACATACACTGAGATGTTGCACGTCGACGTGCAACATCTCCTGCAGCTGCTGAAGCACTTCTGGATGCAGATTCTCGTACAGGTCCGCCCGTGCTTCCAGCTCCCCGTCATATAAGTAAATCTGCAGGTACTCCGGCTGAGCGCCCTCCGCCGGCAGCAGGCTCCCGATGATGCGATACACGGTACCGTGCACGGTGAACACGGGTTCCAGCCTGGCTGTCGCACCTGCTGGCAGCCCATGCTGGCCAGCTGGAACGCGCGGTTGTAGGCCCTGATGTTGTGGGTGAAGTGCCGATGGTATAGCGAGTCGGGAGACAGGAGTTGGCACAGAGCTGGCGGAGGTGGCGGATGAAAGGGCAAAGCCACCTTGCCGGCGCGGCAGCAGGCGCCGGGCGACTCCTGCCGCCAGCGGAGCGCACCGCAGTGAGCACAAACGACCTCCATCTGGCCCAGCTGTAGCCGAGGTGGCGCCACGTAGACTTCGCGGCTGTAGTGCAGCGCCAGCTTGTGCGGCGCGCGCCGGCCGGCGCAGCTCTTCTCGCTGAAGACGCTGCCGCTCGGCGTCGGCTGCCAGCAGCGCGGCGCGCTCCTCCCGCTGTCGTAACGGGCGGCGTCCTCCGCGAGCGCTGCTGGCGCTCAGGAGTCGTCTCCCGGCATCGGGTGGCGGCTTGGTGGGCGGCCACCTGTTGCTCAACCCGCTGCTGGCGCTTTTCCGCCGCCGGTAAATACCGCTGCCGGTACACTGGGTATTTCACCACAACACACCGTTTTGCCACCCTCCGGATCATTGCTGCCTCTTTTACCATGTGTTTTACCATAATTGGTGGTTTATTTGCCTGGAATGTGTTCAGAGGCTTGGGAGGAAGTCGATAAATTCTGGAACATTGCTGCTAGATAATTTATAGACACTGATACTCAAACAAGAATTAGCATTGTTACAAGTCGAGCGCAATGCTAATCCTTTTACATTTTCAGCGCTCGCAACACATAGGTACACCGCCACACACAGCTGAGCACGACGCTATCGTCCCTCCCTAGTGGTGGGTCGCTTCCATTGGCACATCTACAAATGTGGCTCTTTGAAACGCTCTGGGTTTTGGACCGATTTTCCACAATTTCACCGGTGTCTATTCGGTCAGTCAGACTGTTATATTTTTATCATGGCAAACCTACAACTTGAGGTCAGTCTCTACTCGATAGCAGCTCACTATGTAGACACATGCCGACTCACACGGGGGAGCGGCCGAGCGGATGCTCCTACTCGGCACGGTTCACGCAGCAATCTCGCATGAGGAAGCACGTCACCACCCGGCACACACACGACTACCGACACAGATGTGAGTGGTGTGGTTAGGGATTTGTGACGCCCCGTGAACTGAGGAAGCACAGCGAGAGGTGTACGGTGACCAGCTGATTGGTATACGCAGTGGATTGTCGCCACCACAATGTCTTGTTCCCGTCCCACCCGTGTTTCGTGTGTCCACTGCTGTATATGAACACATCCCTGGCCCGAGTCTGCCGACAGATGCCACCGAACAGACTGAACTTCGCCGGAGGAGAGCTTCTGTGCCGTTCGGACTGCGGCAAGACGGATGCCGGCGTGATTGAACATCTCACCGCATGTGCGGCTGTGGGATCTGTGCAGCCTCCGTATCAACTTCCTGACAGCAGGACGACGCTGCGGTAGTCCTGCGAATCCTGGGGTTGACGGCTCGTGTGCTCGTTGAGTCACATCAGCTATGGCAGCAGCAGCAACAACAGTAGCAGCAGGAGCTGGCGTGACTGTCAGAGGAGCAGTGGCCACTGCTCTAGAAACATCAACAGCAGCGGCAGAACTTGTAGCTGGGTTAGCTGGGTCGGTGGAGATGCAGTATGGACAATTGCTCCGCAGCATAGGCGATGTGATCAATGCTGGTGAATCAAATGATTTGTGAACAAGTGTCATGCGTTAGTGTTCAAATAAACCACAACGCTCACTGTCACGAGACCGTTGATTGTCCCGAGGTAAGTTATTTATCCAGCGACTTATTCGTGTATCGTGTAACCGAAACGTCTTAGCCAAGAGTTCTTGAGCCGCCGCGTAGGCTAGAGTGGTAGCGACGAATTGGAAATCATGTAACTCGTCAAAAAAGCCGTGGTCGGATCAGTCCCGACTGATCCGATCATCAGCTTCAACTAACGCCGGACGTAATTTTACTCTACCCAGTGTGACCGTGTGAATACATCGTTCCGCGAGAAGTCAAACTATCTCAGCGAGCAAAGAGTCGAATGCCTGTGAGCCGCCCCATCGCCATTTGAGCCGCGAGAAACCGACGCGCTACGATAAGGGGATTTCTTTGGCAGCGTCTGATGCCCATGCCACGTAGGTGATGTGCTCTAATTGATGGGGTACCACGAATAAAGTCGTTATCGTTGTTCTGTGAAGGTGTTGGGATGTTTAACACAAAGTGGTAATACAGTGTACTGTGCTATCCGTCTTGTCAGTCTGGATAAGTGTGTGTCATTTCATCGTCGTGTGATGAATAAAAGTGTGATATGAAAGTTGGCCATTTTTACGTTGGTGGTCTATTTGGAGGACAGCGCGGAAGTTATTCGGTTGTTGTGATACAAATAAGCAGGAAAAATCTTAGTTTCGAAGAAATTTGTAAAATAAACTGAAGTTTTGAAGACCATAAAGCGATGCTGCCTTATGATAACTTTGAAAGCACCGTCTCTCGGTCAGCACTCAGCAATGCAAGATACTAAACTGCGCTTATAATGACTAAGATGAGTGTATTGAACAACTGTTGTCTCAAAGATGCGATATTTCTATATGATTCACCTCTACTAAAGGCTAAAATTGAAGCACATACTTCTCTATATGTAGAGAAGTTATAAAGCTGCCGTTCGGTCGAGCGATTCAGCGACAACGCTACGCATGTCACAGATCATCATGCATGGATCATGATGCAGATCTTATATTCCGGCGTCTTCAAGCATGAAGCAGCTAGACTAGCTACAGGCCATAGGCATTCACCTTACCAGCGTTCAGCTAGCATTGGTCAGTCGGTGTCACTTGTCATCCTAACTTGCCCGCAGAGCGATGTGTGCAGTTTTTAACGCAATGATGTCAGACAAAACTCGTCTTTATTCGAACTGCCCTATTGCACAACGGCTGATATGTAGTTTGCAAAAAGCCACTCTTATAGCCTGGGTCAGTCCGACGGAGGCGTCGCTTTTAGCATATCTCCCTTTTAGACTCTTTAGTGCCCTGATATCCCCTACGTCGTCCGCCTGGTGTCAATCGGCTGCAGGTTCAACGGTTTGCCGCCGCGGGGCGCTGCGATCGGCTCTTCCGGTTCCGTGGCGCGCGGCTGCTTGTGCTGAAGACCGTCCTTCAGCCGGAAGCTGCCGGCGCGCGCCCGGACGTGGGGCTCACGGCGCGGGGAGCTCGGGGAGGTGGAGACCGCCGGCCGACCCCCGCTGACACTCTCCACACTGATGGCGCGCTGTGGGGCGGGCCAGATACCTCCCCCGGCGGGGGGCTCTAATGTGGGGAGTTGGGCGGGGTCCATGGACCGGGTCCGCCGTCGGCCCTCGGTGGTCGCCGGAGGAGAGTAGCTCAGACACGAGGACGGCGTCTGTGGACAGAGACGGGAGTCAGAACACGGGTCAACAGGTTCTTCTGCGGAGTGAAGGGGAGTCATGGGGTTTACAGAGGTGCTGGGAGGGCCGAATGAGTCACTAAATCTTAACCACGGGCGTAGGAACGTCATGAAAAGTGGGTGGGCCACCCTGTCAAGGGGCCTCCTTTTCCAGGGGGCCTCCTATTTTCAGGGGCCTCCAACTTTTGCCTCGTCCTGCTGGCTGCTTTCAAGTATGACCTCCAAATCTAGCTTCTGAGATCGGGCAGATGTACCCAGGGGCGTAACCGCTTAAGCGAACAGTGCGGAAAGTCCGCACCATTTTTAAAACTTATTCCCCTCCGATTTTTTAAAAATCTATTTGCCGCAAACGGCGCATGACCCCTGAAAACCCTTGCACAAATGTCTTCCTCGTTTCCCAGGTGCCCCCATTAGCTTCATAGGCGTCCTCTTTGGCATATAAGCGCCCTATGTATAGTCATCAGAGACATCCCTATATGTCCCACAGTCGCCCCGTTGTCGCATACAATGTGCGCATCATAGTTAGGCGTCTGTCTCTCTTTTATGGACACTTGAAGGCGCCTCTCTTTGCCATGCCGGCGCGCCTGTTTCTTATGAATGCACCCCCATGGCATTGATCAATTGCAGTCTGCAGACCTCTATTGCATGTGGACGCCCATATATGTAGGCCTCAGAGGCGCCCCTCTTTCGCATTGAGACGCCCCTATGGGATTCATAGGCGCCCCTCTATTGCACGTAGGTGCCCTACTGTCTCAGAACCGCTCCCCTTTGGCATGCAGACGCCCATCTTTCGTACGGAGGAGCCGCTGTGGTTCTTAGAGACGGCATGGTGCTCCCAGACGCAGATAGGGCTCTCGGAGTCGACAGTGTGGGACCTTCAGTCGCTGATGGGTGCCCGCCAGATGTGGACCCTCGGAGAAGCCGGTATGGGGCCCTCAGAGATGCCGGTGTGTGGCCCTTAGAGACACCGGTATGGAACCCTCAGATACTTCAGTGTGAAGCCCTTACAATTGCTGGTGTGGAGCTATGAATGCGCTGGCTTAAATCCCTCAGAGGCCGGTACATGGACATTAGAGCTCAGTGATAGCTTGTGTGGTGCCTTCAGTGGCCTTGTGGAGCCGTTAGACATCAACATGGTGCTCTCAGGAGCCGGTAAGTCCTCAGAGTCACCGGTGTGGGGCCTTCAGAGCTCCGAGATACTGGTGTGTGGCCCTCAGGGGTGTCGGTGTGGGTCCTTCAGATGTACCTATAGAGCCTTGAGATGCACAGGTGTGGTGGCCCACAGAGGCGCCGGTGTGGGGCCCCCAAGAGCCACCGATATAGGGCCCTAAGAGACACTAGTATGACCCTCAAAGGCGCCGCTGTGGCGCTCATAAACACTGGTGTGGAGCCATCACAGGCGGGTGGAGCCGTTAGAGGCCGGAAAGGGCCCTTAGATGCCTACAAGGAGCCTTCAGAAGCCGGCGTGGCACCCTTAACCCGGCAGGCGGTGGGCCTACCAGCCACCTTCCACGCGGTGGGGGGGGGCACTTTTTTGCCCCCCCCCCGTATCTCCGAAACTACTGGACGGATCCGAAAAATTCAAACGGCGTTCGATAGCCCTGTCAAATTTGTCGAGGGAAACCAAATTTCATTGACCTCGGGGTCACCGATGACGTCACAGGTCAGGTCAAAGATAAAATGTTTAACCGTTCACAGGGCTTCTAGGGAAAGCGCTATAACACCGAGTAAAACGCATTTTGTCGAAAATCAGCGATAAGGCGTCAGTTGTCTAGTACATATGTTGCTATTAGAGGTCACTGGTCATACCAGGTCAGGTCACAGGTCAGGTCACCAAAGGTCACCAAGGGTCACCACATGAGCCCAACTTTACTAAGGTTATGTGATGCATGTTTTATGGCCAGTTTTTCATTTCCAACTCAATGGTGTTGTTTATAAGAGCATCAGGTACGGTTTAGGTCACTTTCTGGTGGAGGTCAGGTCAAGGTCAGGTCAAAAAAGGTCAAATTTCAAAGTTGATATTTTTGCACAAAATGGGTATCGATTCGATGCAGCTCGTCACGGGGAGTCTAATGGTGGTCTTTGTTGTGCGCTACGAGGTCTAGAATTGCTAAAAATTGAGTTTGAAAATTTGACGTCATCAATTTTGAACAGTTTTTTCGCTATAACTTGGCCAAAAAACGAGGTATCGATCTCAAATTTGGTATGTAGATAGAAGGCGGTAGGGACTATCACATATATTCCGGTTTTTTCGAAATTCAAAATACTTTTTGGATTTTTTGGCTATTATATTAAAAAAAATCTATTTTTTGATTTTTGGGGGTCAAAATCCAAAAAATTTGAAAAACCGAAATAGCAGTTTTGTAGCCCTTTTGATTCCACACCTTTTATGTCTAAAACATTTTTCTGTATCTCTAAAGCTGTAGGCCTGACAGCTCTTCCCGCGAAACCTTTTTTTGGGTCGAAAATGGCAGAAATGACGTCACTCTTACGTCATTAGCGGCCAACCTATCATAGCCTTTGGAAAAATGTTTGGTCACCATGTGCGCTAGCTGCTCCCGGGAGGGTACTGAAAGTTTGGTGACGATCGGCGCAGCGGTTCTCGAGATATATCGAAAAAAGTAAAGGGGGGGGGGGGCAAAAAATTGCCCCCCCACCGCCTGGAAGGTTAAAGGGACCCTCCCACCTTCAAAAAGTTAATGAATTGGCATGAAAGTGATGTCGCTCGGTTCAGAAAGAGCAAAAACGAATATCTACCAAATTTCATCGAAAAATATTCACCGGTTTTCAAGATATTAGACTTTTACTTTTGTTTACTTTTTGGGATCTCCGCTGTTCCTAGCGACTTTATTTGAAAGTGCGTCATTTGTTGCGCGCAAAGCAGCATATACCACCGCGTGCTACAAAACGTTTTAGTCAAACATTTAAAAATCGTTAGATATCTGCGCTGACGTCACACATTCAGAGGGGTATTCCTATGCATTAGCCCCTCTGAATCAAAATGCTGCAATTTTGAAATTCAATATTTCCGATTTAAGGCATTTCTCGATGTTGTGAGTGCCGAAACCGGTAATTGTGAGCCAGGGACCCCATTTTGGCTATCTCAACTCAAATCTAATGTTAAGGTGGGAGGGTCCCTTTAAGGGGATAAGCGTGTCTACTTAGGAGCCCTTGAGGTGCTCTCATGAGCTCTGTGGGGCCCTACAGAGCCGAAATATGGCCACGGCCAGTTGCCGCCGCATGGCTCTTCGGACTATCATTCTCAGGGGCCTCATCTGCCTAGTTTGAATAGAAGGGCCTCTCAGACCATCAGTCTCATGGGCCTCCTCTGGCTAGTATAAATAGAAGGGCCTGTTAGACAATCAATCCTAGGGGCCTCCTCTGGTTAGTATAAATAGAAGAGCCTCTCAGACCATTAATCTCAGGGGGCTCCTGTGGACAGTATAAATAAAAGGCCCTCTCAGACCATCAGTCTCGGGGGCCTCCCTAGAAAAGTGTAAAGGTGGATAGAGGTCCCCCTCAGATTCATTAGAAGTGGACCTCTCTGACTATCAGTCTCAGGGGCCTCTTGTGGCCAGTATGAATATAAGAGCCTCTCCTCAGACCATCGGTCTCAGGGGCCTCTTCTGACTAGTGTGGATAGAGGGCCCTCCCAGAACACCGGTTTCAGGGGCCTCCAGTGGCCAGTTATATGAACAGAAGGGCCTCACAGCCATCAGCCTCGGGGGCCTCTTCTGACTGGTGTGAATATGAGGGCCTCTCATACCATCAGTCTCAGGGGCCTCCTCTGCCTAGTTTGAATATAAGGGCTTCCCAGGCCATCAGTCTCATGGGCCTCTTCTGCCTGGTGTGATTATAAGGGCCTCTCAGGTCATCAGTCTCAGGGGCCTCCTCTGACTACAGTGTAGATGGATAGGCCTCCCAGACCATCAGTCTCAGGGGCCTCTTCTGACTATTGAGGATAGCGGGGCCTCGTCTGATAGTGAGGGTAGGGGGCCTCGGCTAGACCGCCAGTGTCAGGGGCCTATTCTGACTAGTGTGGATAGAGGGGCCTCCCAGACCGACAGTGTCAGGGGCCTCCCCAGACCAGTGTGGATATTGGGGCCTCCTCAGATCCACTAGGGCCTCTCAGACCATCAGTCACAGGGGCTTCGACTGACAAGTATGAACAGAGGGCCTCCTTGGATCCATCACGGCCCCCTGGAGTCCGTGCGTGGGGATTCGTGGAACTTATTTTTACCGAGTTTGTTTATTCTGGAAGGTGACAACGTCCTCTCAAATGAAGACGAGGGGCCTCGAGTAAAAAGTGGGTGGGCCAAAACACATGGTTGGTCCCCCCACCTCGAAAAGTGGGTGGGCACTTGCCCACCTGGCCCCCCCCTGTTCCTACGCCTATGATCTTAACAGTGCGTGAGGGGTCACGGAGGGTAGCTTTATGCGACTCCTGAGAGGGAGATAGGGGCAGTAACAAATCACAACTATGAAGGAAGTCACAGCATTAGAGGAGCCGGAGTCCAGGGAACCCCAGCTTCCCCTTCCATGCTGCAGACACGCAAAACATACTACCAAAATTAGGTACGCCCTTAGGCTGTTATAACATCTTCACCCCCAGACTTTGTAGTTCACAGTTCACATGACGATTTTCAAAATCACGTCTCTGTGCTACGACAGCACCGTTGCCTGTGTTCCGCCTTCCAGCGGTGGTAGAGTGTGTGATTTTCGCTTGGCGACGGCCGCAGACTTCCCCATGTTGTTCGTCATTGTGGCGTGACGTCACTCTGACGTCACAGGTTTGTCATTGATCTCCGTGGAGCACCAAACACTGTAAATAAAACAGAGCGTGGCGGTGACAACGGACATCATATCAGTTTCTGTGTGGATGTGATCGGGAATCGATGTGACTGGGTGTCGTAAAACACGTAGGGTGGGGATGCTGATAAAATCGGTCCTTATTTTGTACAGGTTTCCGTGTAAAATTGTGCTTTTTCGTCGCCACCCATGACAGACTAACAGTCTAAAATCCTGGTCCCGTCAGACCAGTCGGGAAGACAGTCTCGAATCTCACTTATTGTCTCACTTATTGTCACTCACTCCCCTGTCTCGACTTATTCGCCCTATCTGTCTGCGTCCGTCGTCCTATCGTTCCTTCGGCTTCGGCTTACCCTCGGCTTACCCTTACCCTCGGCTGTCACTCCTCATAATCCGTCGGCTATTCGTTCATTCGTCAATCTCTATTCGCCCCCTTCATGTCACGCCCCCATTCGTTTCCACCCCTCAATCCCACCTTGGTGCCATCAGAAGTGGCCCAACTCCAGTGGCTACCCATCGGGTCATGTATAATCAATGGAACGTCAGCTCACACTGGGCGCGAACACGCGATCCCGGTCGATAAGTCGGCAAATCCACGGGAACAGACGGCTTCTGGGTCACAGCAAACTCGCAAATAGGAATACAATGTGTGAGTGATGTATGATGAATGAGGTTGGTTTAGTTGGGAGGGGGGGGGGGGCAGTATTGGCGTGAGAAGGTAGGTATGCTGGCTTCCGGTGTTCACAGGGTAATTAATGAGTGCCAGTGTTATCTCACGCCATCTGCAATGTGTTAGGGTGTTAGCGGTAGGCAGACATGTCCGTACTCCGTTATGCATTCATATTTAAATTTGCTGAGCCGACGCATACGTTTACGTAAGCGCTAAGGTGAACATCTGATCATCAAGCTAAGAATTGTCCCAAAACCCCATGAGCAGATTTATGAAATATGAATGAAACTCTTGATTTATAAATTGAAACAAATGAAGGTAAGCGTTTCAAATAGGTAAAGGGATCGGAAACCCGTATAAATTAATAACTCTGGTCATCGAAAGTCACTGGAAACAAAAGAAAATATTTAATCTTATAAGTTGTCGAAAGTCACTGCAGAAACAAAAGAAATATGTTTGGTCTTTTAAGTTTAGCAGCCGCAACCTTAGATTTCATCACTCAAGTCACACAGCAACTGGCAGCCTGGGTGTGGTCATCACGTGCCACGTTGTGTCATCCGGGGTCACGCGATCTGGCCGTAAGTGGGCCGCAGACAGCGATGAGCTGGATCTCACGTGTGCCATTCGACCTGTCTGATACATGACATGCACGGAAATCGGCCAGACGGTGTTGACACATGTGACAAATGTGTCACTGGGTGTTGACACGGGGAACAAATGGGATGAGCACACAAACACCTGTGGAGATATACTCTGCCTGAAGAGGCAGCACATGCCTGGCCACTGAAATGGCTGTGTAGGGGGGGGGGGGGTGATGGGCTAATGAATGTTCTTAGTGACGACACTCCCTTTGCAAAGGCCGTGGGAGTGCATAAGGGTAGGCTTTCACACGTTGCTACCCTTTATAGAAGAGGCAACTTTGGATATTCGACTAGCAATTAATGGAGGACGGTGCATGGATGATGGACGGAAAAGTATGCATACTTTCCCAGCCCACCGACCATTACGATGACCGTGGTAAAAAAGAACAACAAAAAAGAAGCAAGAAACGAAAAGGACGAACGAATAGGGTAACTGTGGGGAAAACGCACCCCTAGGTTAAACGCCTCCCCTAAAAAAATCGTATTTCTTATCGACGAATAGGTGTTTTATCCTGTCTTTCAGAACAGTCAGCTGCTTGTTTACGTAGGTCTCTATTTCCGGTTCTGCGTCATGAGGAGCAGCGTGGGTAGGTGCTGATGTTGGTCTTGAGTGTTGTTTTTGTTGTTTTTACAGAAGATTCCTAATATTTTGATGCCCTCTTTATACCACACAACTTACTATTGTGCACATCACTCAAAACTGCGTTTTATTGTCATTCTGTTGAATTTATTATGCTGCGGCGTTAGTGGCGCGTTTTTTTGTCAATATTTTGTTGACCGGAAATGGAGTGGATGGGGAAAGACGCCTACTCGATGCATGGGGCAAGACGCCCCCAGTTTTCTGTAAGGGGGGCGTTTTGCACGGTGGTGAGAGTGCAGGGTAGCGCCCTGTAGGTCGGGGCCGAAAAGGCCTCTCCCTGTCCTTTTTTGCTGATATATCCTAAACGACTGCAGATATCGTCACCAAACTCTCAGGACTCCTCCGGGCATCCATTTTACACATTGCAACAAAATTTTATTCCAAAGGCTATGATAGGTTGACCACAAATGACGTCAGAATGACGTCAAGTTCTGCCATGTTCATCATGTTCTGTTGATAGATGGGGTGGGGGCGCTTTGCACATGGGTGTGGGCGTATTACCTGCAGGGTGTGGGGCAAAACGCCCTTTTGTAAGGGTATGCGAAAACCTTTTTAGGGGGTTAACCCTCGCCGGCCGAGGGGGGGGGGGCGGGTGCCGCCCCCCCCCATAGGGTTTTTTCGCGATAGCTCCGAACACGCTGGCGATAGAGAGCTGAAACTTGGCATACCTGACCTTTGATCCAAGCCGGATCTTTTGACACCAACCGCATTTTTGGGTCAGGTCAGGTCACTGACCTATGACGTCATAAGTGAACCTCTGCACGGTCTTCAGATGTCGCAACTTCGCAACGCCCTCACTGCCAGAGGAGATGTCACAGGGAAATGAAACTTGCAGGATCTAGTATCCATTATGAGTCCCACAACTTGTATATCTCGGATTTTTCCTAAAGGTCATATGAGGTCAGGTCATTTTCGTGACCTCACCATTATAAGTCAATGGGGAAAAATTCAAACTGCTATTCTGGCGCCGGGAACGATCTCCAACTATCTCAAGCACACGGAATCGTGATTTGATGCACTCCTTGCAAGGTTAGATGCGTCACTTTTGCAATGTTGACCTTGCGTGACGTCATTTATGACGTCATCAAGGTCAAATTAGTTTTTCGTCAATAACTCTTGATCAAATTGAGTTAGCGAGTCGGGAAAGGCACCAATGGACTCAGGAAGGCCTGCCGAATCGAATGATATGCGACATGACCTCTTTCGACCAACTTCGTGACCTGGGGGTGCTGACCTGACCTTGACCTGAGGTCAACACCCCAAGTTGACCTGACCCGGACAAAAAGTATATCATTCGACGCGCCTGAGCGAGGCGAACACGATGCTGCCAAAATCGGCGCTCTGCGGCCGTTTTTTGCGAAGTTATTCACCAAAAACTGAACCGTACCCTGGGGCACTTGACCTGACCTCAGAGGTCACCGGTTGACCTAGGACCTTAAAATCGGGTACCAATCTCTGCGTCTCGTAACGGCGCACACGCTCGTTTTTTCCGCGACGCGCTAGCTCCACCAGGGGCGAAACGGCGAGGGGGGGGTCGTACCCGCCCCCCCCCCCCCCCTCGGCCGGCGCGTATGTAGAAAACCAATAGGTCCGGCGAGGGTTAAATACCACACGCAGGTGTCTTTTCTTGGTCTCAAAGCGTAGTAAAAAGAATGAGCTACATGATGGTGCCCAAAGACTTGAGTAATCTGTGTTGGGTTGAGTGTCAGAAGGTTTCGCGCTTAACCCGGCAGTTGCTGGGGTATTTCGCCACCCACCGTTTGCTGGGGGGGGGGGGGGCGTTAAACGCCCCCAGCCGATAACTCGAGAACCAATAGGCGCAGCGAAACGCACGAGGCGGCAAACGAAAGAACGCGACGAGACGCTTCAGATGAGTACTTCAAAGTTGAATTTTGAGGTCACAGGTCAGGTCAAGGTCAGGTCAAACACCTGAAATCGGGCTTTCAGTAGCATGGACTTCAGGACTTCGCAATGGGCGCCTCTCATCATAAACTCTGTCAAAACGGTGCACAATCCATCATATAAGGCCTACAAAAGTGTCAGCTCCATGCAGGGGTCAGTCAAGCATAGGTCAGGGTCAAGGTCAGGTCAACCGGGCAGGCACATATCCCCGAAAATAAAAACTGATATTCGCAGCCTGTGACGCATGTTTTATGGGTAATTTGGGGCGTAGAACACGATGGTGACATTCATTTTATCATATGTGTACGTGTTTGGCTAAAAAAGTTCAATATAACCCGCGCCCTGCTGGGGGTCCTGGATTTCCACGCCCTGCTGGGGGGGGGTGTTTGAACACCCCCCCCCTTCTAACTCGGCTCCTGGGCCACGTAGCGATACGCGGAAGGCGGCGTTCGAAAGAGCGTAAAAAATAATGACGAAATCACTTCGGTCAATTTTTTGGTCAGGTCAAAGGTCAGGTCACCAGAGGTCATTGAAGGCAAAATTTCGCCGATTTCCAGGTCGAATGTCGAAAATTTCCAAGAAGCCAACGCATAACTCGGGAACCAATAGAGCTACAGCGCCGCGGAAAAGTGCATTCGATAGCCCTATTAACGCCCTTTCTGAGTAATTCTCTCAGATTTGACCTAACGTCAACGGTTTTGCCTACAGGGGGCAAAAACTGCAAAAATAGCCGATTTTTTCGGAAACAGTTTTTCTGCAATAACTTTTGACCCAAGCCGTGTACGAGCTTACTTTTACCGGCATCGTGTTCCTCTCGTCAAGACGCATCGAATGAACTATAACTTGACCTGGAAAGGTCAACTTGAAAATTTGACCTCAGGTCAAGGTCATGACCTGACCGGAAAGGGTCATGTTGCATATCAGTCGATCCGTATCGTCGAGCTGAACACATATAAGGCATTTTCATCGCTCTAGCATGCCTCTATCAAAAGTTATTTGCGAAAAACTGTTAGATACCATTCGTGACCTAAGATGACCTCAGGGCATAAACAAGGGTCACGGACACCATTTTCATGTTCAGTGTGTCTAAACCACTTGTAATTCGGTGTTTGGGAGTGTTTATAATGTCTTTCGTCCAAAAGAGACGCATTTCATTTTTC